GCTGGATTGATCCATGTGTGTGCCAGAAGACTCCAACGCGAACTGCATCTAATTTGTGATAATCTGTGGGATCCTACAGATACTATACTGAACTCCAATTGCAATTGGACTAGAGCAGTTGTGGGAAGATTTCCGAAGAAGCTCCGCGTGCAGCAAAAGGCGAAGACAGGCAGATGGGAAAGGTGTTGATAGTCGGCTTAATTATGATTATATAATGAAAATGATTGCACAAAGTAACAACATATGTATACGATGGTGTAATTCGACTTGAAATGAACTGATTACTACACTTGATTGGTAGTTATGGAATATAGGGAAGTGTTTTAGGAATGCAATTGATTGGAGATTGATTTATCACTGAGCTGAGTTAGAGTTAAGTGGCAAAGAGAGAGAATATTAATACATATTTTAAATGATTGCAAGAAATAATAAAACTATAATATGATTTTGATTAAATGTGAAAGAGAAATGATATGTAATATTATAACATTTATAGTTTTAAACTTTAATAAGCTCTTCTTAGAACTTTCTTTAATATAAATCCCCTGAAATTCCAGTTTGCATTCATTTATTTATAGAATTGTCTTATCCTTTTCAAGGCTCCTTACTAAGACATCCTCCCACACACAGCTTCAATCCATCTAATCCGCTCCACTTTCGCCTTCACTCGCTCGATTCCAATTGAAATTCCGTCAAAGTGTGTTTAACCCAAAAGGGAACCCAATCCCAGTCCCACATGTGGCCCATTATAATTGGGCTTAAACCAGCTCCGCTCAATCCCAGGACCTGTGTGTGTTGCCTTGGCAGGCAGGCAGACAAACCGCAACCCAATCAACTTTCTTGCTGCCAAACCCCATCTCACTAATTGTATGTCCTGGCGTAGGCTTTTTTCCATCCTCCACCCCAAACGCAAATCCTGCAACCCTTCGTCCTACCTGTCGTTTTGTTTTGTAATGCAAATCTTTTTGCTTTCATCTGCTTGTTATAAATCGAAAGCTATTAACCAAAAAAAAGGGAAAGAAAGTAAAGGGGAGAACTCCAATTTCTATGCCAACTGTGAGCCCTTCGCCCCCAATGTCCTTTGTGTGTGTGGCACGAGTGTGTGTGTGTGCTCGTGTTATTTGCATTTGAATCATTCGTTTGTGCGAAATCAGATTAAATCGCATAATCGAATCTGATGCGGAGGCCGCACTATATAGAAAAACGATGACAAAGAGCCAATGCAGGCGCAGGAGCAACCAATCAGATGGACAGCCAAATAATAACAAAAAAAAAGAGAACAAGAACAAAAAAAAACAAGTAAATCGGAAAAAGAAAAATTTATGTATTGTATAAAAAATCAATAGCAATGGGGAGGCATTGAAAATCCTATGCACATAAACCCGGGCACGTACAAAACGTTTCTGGCTCCTGGAAAAAAAAGGAAAAACCCAGCTCCCGAAAAAAACAGAGACAAGGTGGGGAAAAAGCAACCACAGGAGCTACCAAAGTTATAACCAGACACATGCGGCGGGAAAATACTTTTCAAAGTGAATCAACAAAGTCGCAGAAAAAAAAAAAACAAGTAAAAAGGGTTGAGACACAAAACTCCTGTTGAATCCTTTTGGAATCCCGGCATTTCTTTGTCTCAGCTGATCGGGAAGTTGCCCGAAATTTGGCTTGTTGAAAATTCAAATTAACTCGATCATAAAAGCCAAGATGAGACCCAGTTCGGGAGGAGGGAAACCCTTCAAAATCCGAATCATCATCCCCTTCTACTTGTTCCTTGTTTGCCTTACACTTTACGCTACATTTTTAACTTCAAATTAAGTTTGTGTGCACGTAGCAAACACAACAATAACAACAACAGCCAAAAGGAAAAACCTTTTTTTTTGCCTTTGATTTTCCATTTCTTTTTTGGCCTGGCTTGCACTTTTTTCTTGTGTTTCCCTATGCCGCCTCAAGTGGCCTCAAACAGCATTCGGAGTTCGACTTCTTTGGTCGTCTTGGTTTCTGTGAAAATAGTTCGTTAGCCTTTCCAAACCCGCCTCCAAAACCCCCATTCGCAAAAAGGGCAAAAGACTTTTCCAAGTCCAAGGGGGGGAGAGGGGGCGAGGGTGGAATGATTGGTTTTGAGCGAACCAAATTATTGGCATTTACTTCTCGTTTTGACTTTGTGCGCTGCAAAAACGTCACAACTGAAGCATCTAATGCGCTTACCAAGCTGGGGGAGTGAAGGGGAGTGCGGTGCGGAGTTCATGGCCCAATCTTAATGCCGCCTAATTAGCAGCCAGAATGCGCTAAGACTACAAAAGCAGCCAAAATCAGCAAAAGCAGCAGGCAGGACGAACGATAGAGAGAAACCGAACTCTCTCCCGGGAACGACGGACCGAAGGAACGAAAGTTTTTGGCAAATTGAAAATGCGCAAAATGACTTTGACCAAATCCCCGGTGCCAATTGGCAAGTTACAATAGCCAAAGCCAAGTCAGACTGGTTGGAAAATGCTGAGTGAGCGGAAAATGCCACAATGAAAATGCCCTGCAAAAGAGCTGCTAAATCGCACAAAATTCTGGGGGAATAGTTTTTGGATTGATGCAATAATTGGATGTTTATTTTTGGGAATGAGAATGATAACTTGGTTAAGAGATGGTTTTTTCAGGAGGAAAGGAGAGGTTATAGAAATGAAGATAAATTATCTATTAATTATATTATAGCATAACTATGAATATTGTTTAAAGATTCAGGAAAAGAATTCAGATCATTTAAACTTAAAGAATCTTTTGATAGTGTTATATACGTAACTAAGTAAATACTACATATCCTAGTATTTGTAATTTTAGTTTAGATATTCTTATAATTTCCACACCATTCTCTTTTTTCCCTCGAGAAAATCCCTTTAGAAAATCTGTTAATTTTACCACATATGGCTTACCTTTTCCAGCCTGGATCCTCTGAGATCAGTTACATTATTTGCCAACTCGCAGTTTGCCAATTAACTAAAGCCAAAAATGTGCATCGCCTTTTACCCTGAGCTAATCCCCAACTCCATTAAACCGAGAGAAAGAGAATTGAAACATCGAAGTGAGCAGGCGATCTACATTTATGACATTTCGATTGTTTGCCCAATGATTTGCCAGCTCACTGGATGACCCAGCGAAATCTAAAGCCAGGGGAAGTATGTATATCCTTTTTGGTAGGTCCTGTCAAACCCCCTGTCAATGCCATTATACCCCGCTCTGTGAGTATGTGGCAAATCCGATCTGAAAACCAGGCAGAAGCATCTAGCTTAGCATCCATCCCCTGAGAACACATTCCCCGAACATATTCATTCACCCCTCTTCCCTCCAGTACTCACTACACTCAGACCTGGATTCAGACTCGGGATCCTCAGCTGTTGTTTTGTATTCTTCTTTTTTTCTCTGTTTTGTTCAATTTGAATGATTTAACATAAAGCGAAAAGGTAAAACCGAGCGGCAGAAGGAACACCCCTTGCTAAATCTGTTGTGCTATTGTTGCTTCTTCTGCTTTGGGCCTTATAAGTGCGATTTCGATTCTCCAACTCCGCAACGCTGAATGCGACTCCTTGCAACACGCGGCCAGAAACTTTAACAACCAACAACAAGCGGCAAGCGAACGAACGAACGCGCGCAAATAATTTCAATCGTCGTGAATCATGAATAATTCAAAATCATCATTACCAACACCTTTTGAGCCGGGGCCTGGGAAACAGGATGAGCGGCAAACGGGGCACTGTTGGGGGTTCAGCACGCGGAGTGTTGCCCAAAATGTTCACACTTCCCAGAGGCTGGCAGCAGCAAACAACACAAACTTTTGCTCAATCTGCAGTCAGCGCTTCGAGTGGACAATGGTGCGGGTGCAAGTGAGGATGAGGATGAGGATAAGGATGAGGGTGAGGGTGAGCATGAGGATTCGCGGAGCAGGAGCTGGAGCAGGAGGAGTTGGAGGTGTAGGGCAGGAGATGCCGCTCAAGTGCTAAAGTGAGGCGGATTACCAAACCAGCAAAAGCAAAAGCAAAAGCTGAAGCTGAAGCTGAAGCTGTGTAGCAACCACCAAAAGCGTTGACTACTTGTGCAGCACCCAAAAAAAAACACAGAAACAACAACTGAGAGGTAACAAAAGCAGAAAAAAAAGATATAGTAAGGGGAAAGGTTACTCTCAAGACCGAAGCCATAAATACCCTTTGAAGGTATGAGTGCTTCAAACCCTTTCTTTTCTGATTTAATTATTATAAGTGCGGTAAGGACAAGATAGGTAATAATTCAATGAAACATAAGAAATAATAGGGTTAATTATTTAGGAAATTTAATAATATAGGGATGAAATTATTTATTAGCTTTCTTGATTATTAAAACCCTTAAAATATTTTATGGTAATTTTAATTGAAAATAACTATTACCAAGAAAAGGCACTTGAAAAAATAGATTAAATATTATTCGTATATTTTGTAATTTAATTAAATAAATCATTTGTTTTTGTTTTTTAATATGTTTAAGGAACCTTATTAAGTTTTAACATTATTTATTACCTTTCTTTATAATCTAAACTATTAGATATATTTTATTGTATATTTAATATAAAAGAACTATCACCAGGAAACGGTCCTTCAAAAGCTAGGCTAAGAATACTTTATATATTTTTTCTAATTTAATAAAATATAACATAAAATCAAGAGATTTTCATTAAAATCTTTAACTTTAAGATTATTTATTACCTTTCGGCATAAACCTCAACTCTTAGAATATTCTAAAGTATATATGTTATTATCTATCTATATATATATATAATACCTATCATAAAGACATGGCACTTAAAAGGCAGCCTTAGGTACTATTCATATATTCTCTAATTTAATCAAATATATTTTTCAACCCAGAGTTTTTAATATATTTTAAAAATCTTTAATAAAATCATAACAATCCCTAATTCCTAAGTTTAACCAATAATATTTCCTACTCTTTTCCCAATCTAATCTCTAATTTTCTCTCTCTGATATTTCTAGCTCATGTCAAAGTACCCTGTGGCAGAGTATCCAAAAAACTGAAACAACAAATACACCCGAAACAACACCTCCGCCCCCTTGGCACGCCTTAGTTTAAGGCAACCGCTGCCGCTTCAGCGTCTATTGTATTCCATCGTCGAAATATGAGGCACGACTCTGGCATTAAACTTCAAAATAAAAAAAAGAAAATAACAAAAAAATAAAAATAAAAACGAGCGCTGCGAAAATGCCAAAATGCAGCCATGGCTAGGACTCTGGTGTTGGCCAGGCCAAGAACAATAAAATGAGCACAACACCAGGGAAAAATACAAAAAGGCAGGAGAAGCGAAAAGATAAGCAGACGGAGGAGATGGACGATGGATGCTGCGATGAGGATGAGGACCAAGCTGGATGATGCTGCTGCTGCTGGGAGCCACTTCAGACTTGGGATGTGCAAGTGTTGGCCAAGAAATAAAAGTTGCTGACCTTAAGCCAAGTCTTGGGTCTTTGTCTTTTGTCTATGCGGCCAAAGTAAAGTTTTACTTCTCTAGTACGTTTTTTTCTGCGTTGTACTTTTTAAAAAGGATATGAGGCAAATACGGAAAGTTGTAGCAAGCTGCAGCAGCAGCAGTGGCAGCTGTTTAATAAGTTCAAGCAATTAAAAGTGTTTTCAAAGGTGCTGCTCCGCGGAGGAACTTCTGCCAGTCGTAGACATTAATAGGCGCATAAAATTGAAGTGGTTGGAGGAGGACCAGGAGCAGGAGGAGGCACTGTGCACCGGCTTATGGCGTTGGCTTAACGATGTGAGGATCATAAAGGCGGCTTAATGATGCCACAAGAGGATCTCGAGTGGCTTGGAGCCTCTCCTCCTCCGCCGTTTTGTTAGCAAGCGGATCTTGCCCGCCAGATAAGTTGAAGGTGGCCCAAGCACGATCCATGTCGTACAGCCATTAATGCGGCTCACAGCGTCCTTCAGCTTCAAATTATTCTCTCAACTTTGAGTTGAGAATAAATTGCCGGCCGTCGCTTCACTTTCCGTTTCCAAAATATCAAAGCCACAGACTCCTCCGGCCTCGGGTACATTAAAAGTGCCCCGAAAACAAAATCCCACATCAATTTGGGTCATTAAAGTTCCGAAAAACACAACGAAAAAATCCAAAACTTTGCCGCCAAATGCAGCCATTAAAAGTGCCAAACAAAATAATTTCGGATGGAGGCAACAACAATCAACTATTAAAAAAAAGGTAGAAGCATAAAAAGTGCACACAAAATCAAACATAAAAATTAAATTAATGGCCTAAACACTCACCCGCATCTACCCCAAAAAACTTTGTTGGGAAAAAGCTTCAGCCAAAAAAAAAAAAAGGTTCAATCCGATGGCATTAAAATTATGGAAAAAAAGTAAGGGAATATTTATTTGAGCTCTGCCACTGCCGATATTTATATAAATTGGATGTTTACGAGGATATTTCCCCCGATGTTTGTTTATGACCGGACTTTTATACGGGCCAGCTGGACGGGCTTTAACCCGGAGACGACCCATTCCCCACCAGTCGAAGATAAACGTTCCCATCGCTAATTTGAGTCTTTGTCACGTCTTACCATATGGAAATATTATTTGTAAATACTTTTATGTTTCGTACGTGACCAGTACGAAGGGGGAGAGTCACATATACCAAGTCCGGATACGGAGTACGGAGGCATGCGCGTATCCTGGTCCCGGGGTCACTACGGCGAGAGAAACCCCCGAAAAGACACGACACTGGAGTTCGAGTTTTGCTTTTTATTGTGGCGACGAAATCAAATAAAGCGCTTCGAGTGGGTGCGGAAGCACAAGTATCAAAAATGTATATTGCAAATCCCTCCAAGAGGCAGAAATGTCATCGTAAAATTGCCAGACGGCTTAGCGATGGGGAGCAGCGAATAAATAAAAATTATTTCCAGATGACATATCAACTGTGCGACTGTTCCTTCGCCGCTCTGCTGACACCTTAAAACCCAAAATGCGCTTATAATACAAAATGTTGCGTGTGCCCCCTTGAAGGAGCAAAGTCCTTTCGCATAAGAGAACCAAAAAAATAAAGAAAATAAGCGGAGCCCAAATCCAGACCGGTACAAATTGAAACGTTGAAGAAATTACAAAACTCACCCGGTCCAAAGGAAGTCGCAGAATCAGGAGGACGAAGGACCGAAGGACCTAAGGCGAATCGCAACTGTCAGTTGCCTGGGCTCCCCGTCTCAGACGTCAACTTAACGTGAATAATTGTCTAAATCCCAACGACAAACACTTATTGTCCTGGATTAGCAGGCAGTCGGCAAAGGAGACCCAGAGAGATAGGAGGAGACGATGGAGGACCAGAAGCCCAAGGACTGCGTGTAAAAAATGAGTGGCAAAAACTTTGAACAGTTTTTTTTTGCACTTTTTTTCAGGGAATAGTTTGGGCATATTAGTTGAGTGTTTAAGGTAAAACTCTAGGTACTAAAGCTAAATGCTAACCAAGCGTTACTACCGAATATTCTCAAGTGATATATTACCATCTCCGTTTCGTATATATTTGCCAATTAGATTGCTTTAAAAGTTCACAGAGCATTCCCTAGTCGTGACCCCCGAGTTCTTTTCCATTCCAGGGTTTTCCCCAGGTGGCTGCTGAGAGCAGACCGAACCGTTAAGCGTTTTAAATTTAACAAGCTAGCTGGCCAGGATATCCACCATAGACTCGAATCAGGATTCGAGTATATAACAAAGAAGTTTCAGCGGCATCGCAGCTCCTTTGCCTTCTGTTTACCTTCTGCATTTCCTTGCGTTCAATTAATTTGCTCACAATTTGGTTGGCAAAGGAGGGGGTGGTGTAGCTATATATACATAGAGGTATATATCTCTCAACTCAAAGACAAAAAGCAAACTTTAAGTAGCAAAAGTAGCAAAGAAAAAGAGAGAAAACCATAAGGGAGCTGGCAGTCGGGAGAACTCAATATGTAAAGCGGCATTGTGGAAAAGTTTCACCGGGAATGAAGAGGGAAAGAGATCCCCTGCGGAGGCGAAAGTTGGTCCAAACTATCCGTGAAACCCCTTCGCAAGTCGCAGGACTCAGCTGCCAGCAGCAGCTTCAGACTTCTGGAGTTTCTCCTTCTTCAGGAGCAGCAGCAGGTGAGCATCGGCAACTTTTCGATTTCATTGCTGACATGGCAAAAAGTGCGTTTTTCCGACCGAGAATGCATTATGGCAGCAGCAATTGCAATGGCAACCCATGTGTGCCAAGTTATGTTCAAGGAAAGTGGGGTTAAGCATCCTTCAAAAGGATTCAATCAGGCAAAGGTCTTGAAAGTCTCACAGCTTTACTAAGGTTTATAAGTCTGGATAATTATATATTGTATTTTCTACTGGAAAATCTAATAACAAAACCCTAGTCTTCAGGGAAAAGGGTTCATTTTCAAGGTAACTATCGTATGTTATGTTAATTTTGATACCAACTCAGACAGAGGACCCTAATTCCAAACACTCTGAAATCATGCTTCATTAACTTCATGACCGAAATTTCTTAATTAAAAACGAGTCCAGCAGCAGCCGTCGTTGTCGTCGGGGATTGCATTCAATCCAAATACAATCCAAATTCGTTTACAATTGCCAGTTGCCTGCAAAAAGGATTAGTTTCACATTTGTTTACCTCTCTAACAAGAAGCTAGTCGAGAAACGAAAAAAGGGGCACCAAAAATAACCCCAGACCCGAAACCGGTTATCAGAGAGAGAGAGTTGGTTCTGGGTTTTTCGAATAAAGGACGAACCTACTCTGATATATGAGCACCCTGGCAGGGACGAAACTTATACCAGAGTCTATGCAAATCTCGGGGGCAGAAAGGGACAAAGTTTTTAACACACCGTGCAAAGCCTGGGCTCGGACAAAAAGGATATACGAGATGATATATATGCAAATGCCATTTGAGAGGGTCGTTTGTGGGTGTGAGGCAAGAACTTTGCTGCTGCTGCTGCTGCTGCTGCTGCTGCTGCTGCTGCTGGTAATGTCCTTCAAGCCTACAAGGGGTCCTGTGCCGAGCTTTTAAAACTTTCTAGCCTGCCGAGGAGCGCCGCCTTTAAGCACAACGAATTTCAATTAATAGCCAAAGACAGACACACACACACACCGAGAGCCAGAGCCGAGAGCCATTTCCTGCCAGTGTCCCTTAACCACGCCCACATCCTGCCTGCCTGCCTGCCTGCCTCTCTGCCTACTGCCTCCCTTCGGCACTGACACTAAGCCCAAAGGCTACAATCAGCTCAGCTGTGTGTGCGGACCACCAAGTTCACTAGACAATTTATTTTTGCTTTCGATTTTCCAAGCTGTCAGTTCACGCTTAAATGCGCACAGTTCAATTTAAAATGGGTAGCCCAGGACATGCACAAGGATACGCCGCTGTCAGTTTGCTCTGTCGCTGTATCCGTGTTTCTCTGGGCATCTTCTCCTATGCGTCCTGTGCAGTCGCAGTCGCAGTCGCAGTCGCAGTCTCACTCACAAACTGGGTTAAGAGGTTGTTATCCTTATGCCGTGTTTTTGAAAATAGGCAACTCCGCCAGGCAGTCATCCTAACCGCCCCTGGTGGCCTGTTTGTGATGCCCCTGCCTCATATCCGTTGCAGACACACGAAACGTCCTGGCTGCCAAACCGCAGAGGGAGCGAAAGGGAGAGAGAGAGAGAGAGAGCTCTCTGCGTATCTCTGTCTCTCTGCGATGATCACAAGGATGTTGCCTCGTGATGATGAAATTATGAGCGTGCAAAAGCATTTGCATTCATTATGTATGAATTTTTGTACTCATTCCCTAGACTCTGGTATGCTGCTCTAGAAATTAAACTAACGCCGCTCGTTAGTCTCAGTCGCAAGTCCGGATGGGCTGTTATAAGGCTATAAGGCTATAAGGATATATATGGTTATGGAATGGGTTGCGAGGAGGCTTAAATGCAATGCCACAAAGCGTTAATGGTTTCTTTTTTCGCATTTCTTTTGCAATTTTCATTATTATTTCCACTTGGTAATGCGTTTTGCGTACGCGAGTTTGTGCCCGAATGAGGTCTTTGTAGGGCATAAAATAATAATATGGTATTTGGATTGCTAATTGAAGGAGCGAACAGAGCTTAAGAAAATAAGAGCAGTCTTGGAATATATACTAATATATTAAATTAAATTAATATAATAAAAAAGGTTAAGAGTTCATTGAAATGCAAATGAAAGTAAAATGTAAATGAAAAGCCTTCTTAAAAGCTAAGTTTGTAAAGGAATTAAGACTGTAATCTATAAAAATATGTATAAAATGTTGATGAAAACACCACAATTTCATTACATTTAAAGTAAGAATCTATAAGATTTACTCCTTTCAAAGACAAATAATCAACTTAAGTTTGATAAATCACTTTGATAAACCTCAACGATTCAACCTAATATTAAAATTCCCTTGAGTTTGGCATTTTCTTAGGAGACAGAGGCCAATAAATGAACCATTTATAACTTTATTATCGCCTGGCCATTGTTGATAACTTTCTTTTTGTGCCTTAAATGCATTCAAATTCTAACTTTTTACACAAGAAAAATGAGGAAAGAGATGCTCCTTCTTGGCTCAGGTCCTGGCGTGTCCTGGTAGCAGGCGGGCCACTTTTTTTCCTTGTGCTAAATGATTACACTTAACTAGATTTGCATATATTTAAACATTTCCTTATGCGCACGCAACACGAATTGTGTGCACGTGGTTCTCAGGACTCGCTGCTCCGCCTGAGTCCTGCCCCAGTGTGTGTCCTGTGCACAAAAGGATTATTAAGGAGCTTCATATGTAAATGAAAACCAAATGCACACGACGACGACGACGACGACGACGACAGATGAGCAGAGCGGAGTGGAGGCTGCCAAGGAGGCAGAGAAGCGAGACAGATAACCTGGAAGCCACAGTTTGGCAAACACAGGCAGGAGCCAGAGCCAGACACTGTTTGCCCAAGGATCCAGGGGGGAGGGAGGGAATCCTGGGCTACCTTGCCAGTCCCGGCTAGAAAGTAGGTGAAAGCCAGAGGCAGACGGGAAAGCCAAGTGGAGTTTCCTCATACCCATACCCATTCATTCGCCTCGTTCGTTGGCCCGTAATTTATGCTTAAGATAAAGTCCTTGAATAAATACATGGAAAATCCTTTGAAATTGAAATTAAATACGAATATCATCTTTTTTTTATACATATACATATACGAGCGAGACAGAAGAGACAGAGAGAGAGGGGGAGAGAGAGAGAGCTGCAGACAAAAGGCAAACGGGAAATGAAATTAACATTTGAGTGCGCTTTCCCAAAATTAAACGAGACTCCCAACTGAGTTGGAGTG